TGGCTAAACATTCTTGCTCACGTTTCTTACGTTTTCCGAGCCTCTTTCGGACAACATTCAGAAATCTTCATGTTCATCGCAGTTCTTATTGTTAGATTTGGATAAGAGTTGAAAGCCGAAATATAGAATCGTAAATTCTTAGTTAAGGATTTTTTAAAATAAAAACAGAAATTTCTTCGCCCATAAATCAACTCTGAATCGTTAGCAAAAAAGCAGAGAACATGAACTAATCACAGCAATTATCATCACCACCAACAAAACTACAAATTTCAAATAGTAAAATATCTATGAGAACGACCATTCTAAATTCATTGCCTATATTTGACATTGTTTACATTCACTAACGCAAAAGAATGTTTTGGTTGAAGGGACACTACTGTCTGTATCAGTCGAACGTTAATGAAGTACACTCCACTGAACAGTTTTTCGATCTGGGCTGATTACTGAGAACAATGGAAATAGTGAGATTTGGTGGATAGAGTAACGAAAGCAAAAATGAGGCAAGAAGTTGCCTTCATTATCGAGACATTTACTGATCGTAACGTCCGCCATACTTCGGCGTAGGGGTCTTTCAAGTGTTCAGTGCTCTTAAGATGTAAAAACTTCAGTTTGTCATAATCGAGATCTGCCCGATGCATATGTTATCCCTAAGGAATTTCTCAAATTTGGATGGAAGAATTGTAGAGAAAAGAGCAAACGAATTTTAAATTTTATGATTGTGTTTATTTGGAAAATCGGCGAAGACAACGGGCAGAAAAGGACATTCATAAACGGGTGACAACTTCTACGCGTTGATGAATTGCTTTCGCACTTAAAAGCATCAGCGTGGACCTATCTAAATGGCAATGAATCTTTTTAAAATTAGAACAAGATGGACGTATTATTTAAATTCGCAGTCTCAAGATGATTCAAATTCAATTCTGCAGTTTTCCGAATCAAGATCAGTTGATCTGGCAAAATTTTTGCCATTGATTTTTCGGAAAATTTTTTACGTAAACAGTTCGAAATTCTCAACGAACTAAAATTCATAATAAGAGTGAAGAGAACATTTTCTGTCCCGTGATGTTCTATTCGTTAATACTGGTGGAGGGGTTTTTTGAGAACCGAGAAAAAGTTTGGACGAAACGGAAAAACCATAAAACCATCAGGAAAACAAAAAAATAAGAAGAACGCAAAAGCAAACATTCATCATGAATACGACAATCACGACACAAAGACAATTCAATGTGCAAAATCTGAATTCCATTTCACATTTTGCATTTTCGTTTTTCAGACAAATATTTCAACAAAGAAACGATAAAAGTAAAAACTCACCAATTTAAGTTCGGGAACTCCTTGACTTAGCGTCCATTCTTGACTGTTTACGAACGCATCTGCAAATGAAATGAATTAGTCGAATGGTCTAAAAAATGACCGTGAAAATACTGCAAAATTTTGACACTGCTTGAAGGATCGTCAAGTTCTAGTTGCAGGGAAAGTTTATACTCACAATCAGAAATTGGGTTCCGTTCGTGACCTTTCCTCGCCAGAAACTTATTTATTTTTTGGAAATCTGACTGAACTGCTCACTGAACCGTGCCGATCAGCATCTCTGCGAGGAAAAAAAATTGTGGGTTCAGCAGTAAACTTTCAAGATGAACCAAAATATCCCATATAATTCTATCCATTCATCTCTACAACAAAAAATACCGTCTTCTAGCATACAGATAAAACAGTCAGTGTTTGATGAAGAAGAAAAAAAAGTGAATTATGAAATAACAAAAAGAGTTATGTGTTTGTTTTTGAGTGTTTGTGCATTACGGTAATTGCAGATAATCAATCAATTCAGCGAAAGAATGACTGACACGAACACGAACATGTACACATATGGTGCTAGCATGCACCCTTGAAGGGTTTTACGCTTTTGGATTTGTCAAGTGATGATGCACAGTTAAAGTGCTGCTAGCTCATTTTCTGAAAGCGAATTTTGCTTAAGGCACAAGCACCATTTGTACGGCGTTCATGTTCAGGTTCACGTGCACATCAACTACTCGAATTGGCAAGCACAGGCCTTACAAGCAAGCCTTTCAACTATATTCTGCTCGCCAGTTCTCGTCACGGCAAGTGTCTATGCCCTTATCCAGTCAAAACCATAACTTTCAGCACACACACACACATCACCAATTGCAGTCATTCTTATTTAAGAACCATGCACGCTGTACTATACTCCTCCTCACATGGACCTACCTCGCTCAATGTGCATCCTTCAAGTGGCCTACTTCCTTTACTCTCACCAAAAAGGTGGATAGATCAGTTGGGAAATCAATAAGCAAAATACCGGTAACACTTTGTATAACTTGGTTACTTTCATTTCTTCCAAATTTCAACATGTTTTTCTTTTTTGATGAATTATTTCATGTTAACTGATTGCATCTTCAAGGAATAATTGGAATCAGAGAGAGACTGGAAGAAGTGCGGGATCAACCAAATGATGACTGATCGAGTGATGAATGATCTGGAACTGATCAGGAACCGATAATATTCAAGCACAAATACGATTAATCAAGCAGCATTCATGCACAATGGTTGTTACATTAATCCAGTTCAAGAGCAGAAACGAACCCTTCACGTAACCATTTCTAAGCACATGAGTACCATTTTTTGCAGTTGTTACGTACTGAACAGTTTGTGCCTCGGGCAACAGACTGACAAATGAGAGCACTCGAACTGGTGGTTGTTTGGAGTGTTTTCGCGACGATAGAGGGGTCTTAATGCGCATTTTGTCGAGTGGACAGCGATACGGTAAACGGCATGGTGAGTCACAACTTGGTGCACGGTAATAACCGTTTGCGGTGAGACGATCTTGTGGTCGAACCTTCGCCGGACTACCTCGATAGCCGCCGGTGTTCTCTTTTTCACGAGACTTTCGGTAGAACAACTCCCGAAGAAGTGCCCCTCGATGATGACGACTTACATTACGCTCCTTGGATGGCGCTTGTGTCATAAAAGATTTATTCAGATTCTTTGTGGATGTGTCAAAGTAAAGACTATCATCGTTCTTGTTATTGTTCTCTTCATTTGCAAAATCCAATAAATCCGCATCATTTGCAGTCATATTCAAACGAAACGTTGTACGACACGAGCCAGCCGACGACACGCCAACACCTGCATAGATGTCATTTGCTACCAAACCAGGTAGTATCGCATATGAGGTCGATTTGTTCAGTGTGTATTCGCCTTTCCTTCGTGGCATTTCTCGGTAGATTCGTGAACTTTCAATGCTTTATGCACAGTGTGTGAGTATTGAGTTTTAACGATTAGTTGTCAATGTGTTTAGAAATACATCAGAGTTTTGTTCATTCTGAAATCGTTGTGCAAATTAAAACAAATTTCTCGCAAGTGCAATACACGTTGATGGAACACATTCACAATCATTGTCTCGATTCACAAATTTCATATCAAATTTACAGTCGGTATATGTTGATAAACACGCATCTAACGACGAAAATATCGAAGCAATTCCTTCAAACTGCTTTTTGAACTGTTCGATTACACTTCCAGATATGGACACATCAACTCAAGAAAACGTTTTTCGAGCAGATATTTCAGACGACACTCAGAACATTCGCGCGATGCTCGAAATGATAACCAATCGAAATTCGATCGGTAAATTCTGAACGAATTTTCAATTTCCAATAAGTACCGGAGTCCGGAATCATGGAAATTAATTGCACCAAAGCCCAACTGAATCAGTTTTTCGGTTGACTACCATCACAAGACCCTACTTTCTGCTCATTAGTAACACATAAAACAGTTTTATTAAATTCAGAAATATTACAAAAATGAACGTTTCTCTTATAAACAATTCATCGGTCCAGAAACGAGAGCTCGAAAATGATGGATGCAGATGATTAATATTACGAAATTCATCAAAAAATCACCTCAAATTTATATCAGTCTCACTGAAACAGCTACTGAATGATAAACATGCCAACAGTGAGTGTGCAAAACGAATAATCAGTCAATTCTAAAATTCGTATGCGAGAATGATTCAATCCTCAGATTATATCCAACAGTCAAACATTCAAACCACCATCGACACTGAATCATTAATTTAAAGGAAAGGATGAATCAATAAAATCATGACATCTTACTCTCTACAAATTTCATACAATATCGACATATATATGTCATAAATATGGTCACTTCTTCACGAGGAACGACACTTCACTGATTATATTATCGCTTAAAAAAGAGTCATGAGTACTCGTGATATAGCATTAAGTAGGATAGGAGAAATACCGAAGATGTCATGAATTTTAGCACTGAGCTCTTATAAAGTTTGGATAGTGGATGCCGCAGCAGCTCGGAAACTATCGAATGACTTCTTTGGTAATTGAACTTGACAGATGAAGAAAGATATAACGGACTGGCAGTAAATCTGCTGAGATACTGGAAATAAATTCCACATAACGGCAATAAGACATAGTAATACTCTCAAAAATAATCTTCAGTTGGCTTACACTTCTTTTCTTCAGTTAGCCTACAAGTCAATCATTTTCCAAGAATAAGCCAATCTATTAGATGTCGAAAATATTCGGCGATAATTCCATATGAATTATCTGATCAACGCGATGGAACTGTATACTGAAAAAGTCTCCCAAAGACAAAAAACACACTCATTGTTCAAAATTTTCGATGAGATTTTGAACAAACGTCTCGAAAAAATAGTGAAAAGTGACAAGTGTCTGTACCACCCCCATGAACTTATCTCTCGTTGAGCTGTTATCCATCCATCCATCATCAATACAAGAAGGCCATGTAGATGAGAGCAGACAGTTGGATTGAAATGGAAACATCAATCTTAGTGGACGACATGAAGATGTTTAATTTGACGAAGAAAAGAAAATTGGATGAGCATTAGGAAAAGGCTTTTGGAATAAGAAAATCACAATCACATCAACCNTTGGATGAGCATTAGGAAAAAGCTTTTGGAATAAGAAAATCACAATCACATCAACCAAACAAATGAAATGGAGAAAATCTTGTTTTCACCATCAACAAACAATCGCATAAAATTGAACAAGAACAGCAATTAAAATACCAAATAACACCAAAAAAAGATACTTTTGATCGGAATTTTCGTAATTTTCAGCATCTGTTACAAAAAAAACTCTGCTATGCGTCGAAAAAAGAACCACAACAACGAGTGACATCGATGAAAAAGAACGCCTACGACGATGCGGCAGAGTGCATCAGCAGTTCCCTGAGGATACGCATTCTGAGCAGTCAACTGATTACAAATGAAATTTTCGCTCGTAACGAATTCAATTTCCACGCATAATTCAACCCACAGCTGAAAACATTTGCAAAACGTACACACAATCTAACTTTCAAACTGAAAAGCTTTTGCAAACACCGATATATTCCAATGCAAAACCATTGTTGTCAGAGTTAATCGGTAAAAATGGCCGAT